ATGTAGTTTCCATTATATACTGTATTCAGCCATGTTTACAAAGTTATTTTCTCTAAGACTAAACTTTTGGATGCATTGTTCATTCCGCATTGCTCAATTCATGCTTTTAATTTAGTTATCAAAACTCACCTAGTCACTAAAAAATAGTGTCTGAGATTAGCAATGTGGCTGTGAAGGTCAGGGAGGTAACAGGAAAGAGGTAAGATAGATTCCTCAGGTTTACTTCCCATGCAGTTTGACTCTGGTGCTTATGCTGTTAACCACTATACTACCTTCAAAACAACATGGCCCCACAGGTCTACAATACCCCTTACCCAACACACACACACACACACAAACACACACACACACGAGGAAATCAAGTGACAGGCCCCCCAGAGAGACCTACACAGCTATCTTTTCATTTTTGGGTATATGTAGAAATCCATTTGTAGGAGAATGCTGCCTGCCTTTTATATATGTATGTTTAAGTGTGTAATGTCCTGAGTTCGAAATGCAGAGAGAGTAATAGGTGACAATACTCCATAAAGGTTATTCAAGGTCAATTTCACTGCTTGAAATAATTCTTGAAGTTTTAACAGTTTCAGAGAGCTACATACACAATCATGATATATGCTTTCTCACTGTATAATACTAAAGAATGTAAAAACAAAATAGGCTTCTATTCTCTTCAAAATTTGCCTTCAACATGCAAAAAAAGTTTCTCTTTTATTTAGAGCAATCTGAGGTATATGCACATATATACTTTTGAAAATTAAATGGCTTTAAAATCTTCCTTTGACATTTAAAAACTTTTACTTAGACAAGAGGCTGAAGGAGAAAGTTATTTCAAAACCATATTCATGGTGGCCCAGAAAAAGAGAGGTTCAAAGTAGATGGGGCTTGTTGACTTAAAAGAAAGACATATTCAAACAGGACACACTCTTGGCTTAGGGCCCAAATGAGGTGTAAGGAGTCATGGCAAAAATGTATGAACATTTAAGACATCCTTGAAAGGATAAACAAAAATTGAGAATACAAGAGAGTGAAGAGTCGTCAAAGCAAAGGCAACTGGGTCATTCCAGAAGCGAGCACGGTACTTGATTAAAGCCATGTAAGAGGAAAAGGGAGAGAAAAGAATGTACTTTAGAAAACAGGTACTTAGGGGAAGCAAACATGGGCATAGTTAACTTAAAAAAAAGATTAAGAAACCCTCTTATTATTATCTGGATCTCCAGAGTTTTCACTTTTCGTCTACTTCCCTGATCTTATCTTGCAAAGAAATGAACCCTGCATATGAGACTACAAAAAACACCATTTAAAACCCCCAAAGACTCAGTTTCTTTTTAGACATCAGAGGCTTCTGTAATAATCTCCTAAAAACTACTCTGGAAGTCATTTATTATCATTCACTTCCTCCTCACTTTTCTTCCATCAAGGAATGTAATTTTACTCCATGGTCTTGGAAACTATTTTAAAAGAAAAAAGGGTTTTAGTTGATTGGCAACCAATACACAGATTCCTAAGTACTTAAAATGCCAGCAGTAATCCTAGCTCTGTAGAGAAAACAAATTTGTATTCATAAAAGAATCTTCATAACTGTACTCGGATTCTAATTCGTGAACACTAATTTACCTAAGACTAAAGGCAATCAAGCTTGAATGATAAAAAGAAAAAAGAAATTTCAAGGGTTAATAGTTAAATAAATTGTAATTTCATGACTGACCTTTGTATAGCTTGCCTACGTCATAGATAAAGAACATGTAGATTTTTTAGACAGCATGGTAAATTCAGCTTCCTTAGAAAATGTTTTTGAGTATTGGGTCCCTGGCAAACAAGGGACTATTCATGGAACATTCAGTGCAAAATATGGAATCCATATTATAAACAAGAAACAAAATGTTACATATAATTTAGGATGGGCCATCAACCTTTTCAAGTTTATTCACGTGCCTCAGGTTAAGAATTTCTGTCCCATAGGATCCCTGCAGGTGTTGAAAGAAGAAGGACCCCAAGAGCTCTTGGATTCACCTGGGTATAAGTCACTGTTTCATTTCCATTGCTTCTTTAATCTAAGAGGTCTTGGGATTCCTTTCTTTTGAGATTTGTGTCTTCCTAAAATATTTTTCAATTTGTTTCTAGCCTTCTCAATATACAAGAATTTTAACTTAAATTTGGGAGTTTTAGCTCTGTGACTTTTAGTTCAATTAATTTTCTTCTGTGTCCATTTAGAAAATAAGAAAATATGCCTAGCTCTACTATATTTCCTGGTGTCCTAGTAAAGATTAAATGAGATGATACACATGAAAGTGTTTTGACCCCCAGATTAGAGGTTGCAAAATCAAATTAAAACTGTGCTTTGTTGATCTATGTAAAAAAGAAATTTAACTGAATTAGTTACCACCATTTTTACAAGCAGAATTTATATAAAAATCTAGATTTTTCAACTTTTCTTGAAAAATTAAATCATCTAGGAAAATACTATTTGCATTTATATGACAAAAATTGTTTGGGGTTGAGTAACAACTGCCCCCTTGAAATAAGGCAAGGAGCCTTCAGTTTGTCAAAGTCCTCAACAATCCTTATTGCTTCCCAGTACAGAGGCAGAATATCTGCTGCCATGTTTTAATTTATATCTGCCTTGCATGTCATTTGTCTAGTTCATATGGTCATTTAAGGCTTGCAACTCTCATGAAGGTTTTCTTTTTATTCTTGGCTCTAGCTCCCAAACTGACTGATAGACCAGTTGATCTACTTATTAATCTATCATCTGTCATTTATTCTTTTTCAACATTATTCTGGAATATTAATATAAAAAGGAAGAAAATGGCATCAAGTACTACTTTTACTTTTATCTACTGTTTAGTATTTAAATAAAAGTGACCTTGGCTGGGTGCAGTGGTTCATGCCTGTAATCTCAGCACTTTGGGAGGCTAAGGTGGGCAGATCACTTGAGGTCAGGAGTTTGAGACCAGCCTGGCCAACATGGTGAAATCCTGTCTCTACTAAAAATAGAAAAATTAGCTGGGTGTGGTGGCGTGCACCTGTAATCCCAGCTACTCGGGAGGCTGGGGCAGGAGAATTGCTTGAACCCAGGAGGCGGGGGTTTCAGCGAGTGGAGACGTGCCACTGCACTCCAGCCTGGGCAATAGAGCAAGACTTAGTTCTCCCCCCAAAATAATAATAACAATAATAATAATAATAAATAAAAGTGAACTGAAAGGAGTGTTTCTCTGTGGTAAATGCTTTTTCTACACCTACAGATTTTATTCATACTTTATCATTTTTTAGGACTCACCTCATAAGCAGCACCCAGATCCTGGAATTTCTCCTGGGCTTGTGGATCATCAGGGTTCCGGTCAGGATGAAGCTGCAGGGCCAGTTTCCTATAGGCCTTTTTAATGTCCTTTATAGAGGCACTTCGAGGCACCCCCAAGATCTTATAGAAATCTCGCCTGGGAAGTAGAGGGAGAGAACACTTCATTAAAGAGTTATATGTTACATTTTTAAAAGCAAAAAAAATTTTTCCCCTACATTTGGGTTTGTATCCGAGCAAAGAAATACAAAAATGGGTTATGCGACACATACACACACAAAGTATGACTAAAAAGACAACACCAGAATTTGTAATGAATATTATATATTGATGTAATCACAGTAAGAGGCTACATACTTCTTTTTAGATTATTCAAAACATCTGTGGAACTCTTCTTTTAGAGCCACCTTCAATCAAGAAAACCGCTTCCTTATTTTATGATCCCATGTTATTTTTAGGCAATAATCATATAGTCAAATGAACTCTTCCTCCCTTTCCCTATACTGGCTCCAAATGACTTTTGACTTTTCTAAAAGTCAAATAACATTCTCAAAGGATGACTTTCCTTATTTAAAAAGATTATGCCACTTAAATGTTCTAACAGTAGCACTGCCAGAACTTTAAAGATGAAGCAACCGAAGATAATACATAGCTCAAGAAGCTGGGAAGTACAAGGGCTCTCCAAGGGTCTTCTTGCTCCCCTCCCCCATCCGATTTTGTTCAGTTCCAACTCGATCTGGCATTATCCACCCACTTTAATGTCGGCCCCCCAATGACTCGTTGCAGGCTTGGCATAGAGTATCATCCGCTTCTCCAGCTCAGCGGGGCACAGCAACCCACCTCTTCGATCAAACAAAACGTCCATCCCCCCAACCTCAGCCTGACACTGTCATTACCTTGCCATACAGTCAGTCAACCCTCTTTCTTCCCCAGCTCTACGTGACACTGCTTCAGCTCACAACCACCTTCTTGCCCTCAAACTCTCCTTTTCCCCCAAATGCCATTTGGCAATGCATGGAACTCCCACTCCTCTGGGCAAATCTAGCTCTACCTAAGGCCCTCTCTAGACGTAAAGCCCTCTCACTGGTGTCACCCACGGTTCTCCTCTCACCCCACTAGCCAGGCCCATACTACCCCTTCCTCAGTCATCCCGTCACCCCACAGCGATGCCCCTCTCCACTCCCTCAGTCTGGCAATGCCACATCCCCACTCCCTCCCACCCCCAGCAAAGGCTGACCCACCGGCCCCGTGTCTACTCCTCACCCGGCAATCACGGCCCCGATGAGGTACAGCAGCAACAGGCAAAAGGTGCTCAGGTTCTGCGGAGCCATGGTTCCTCTGTCCCGGGTCGTGTACCACACACTCCTCACAGCCTCCTCCTCCGCCGCCGCAGCCGCGTCGGCTCGCCAGCCCACCCGGCCCTGGGAGGCCGCCTCACACCGGAGGGCGCGGGGTGGGGGGGGTCTCCTCCTTGGTCCGAAGAGACAACTAGCTAGCCCCGTCCTCTACCAGTCCACTTCCCGGGAGTCCCGAGTCCCAGTGAGAGAAGTCCCCAGCAGGCGAGAGCCAATCGTTGCCCCGGACATCACACGCGGCCGGCGCCTGGAAGCCAATCAGCGCAGTACACTTCACCTCCGAGGCGGCAAGGGCAGCCAGTTAGGCTTCAGAATTGCAGTCGCAGCTCCCGACCAATTAGAAGAAGAGATGTCAGAGGATTGCGCCGCTGCAGGAACCGGCTCTGCCCGAGCTACCCCGAGTCGTAGAAAATTACGTAAGTAGGGGGCGGGGTCGACCGAGGGGGCCCCCTGAGGTACAAGAAATCCCCTCCGGCTCGCCTACTTCCTCGGACTTCTCACCAATCAGGAGGCTCCTCCCCAGCACTGACCAATTGCGGGAGAAAAGTTTTCTCTCTGTTACAAGTATGGAATTTCATTCATATCCAGCTTCGCGCCGAAAGCGGGAGCAGAGGTATAGCGGCAGAATGGGCCGGTACAGTTATTCCACGACTGCTGTACATCGGACGCATTGCTTCGGACGCATTGCTTCGGACTCTTATTTTACGTTCTCCAAGCAACTCCTTAAGGCAACCGTCTCGGAAAGGCGACCGTGACGATAGGATTAAGCTTCCACCACTTAGAGGTGAGACTCCCCTATCCCTCTTCTCCTCCCGAGTCTGAGCCTAAGTTTTTTTTATCAGCAAAACTAAGGCAAAGTACTTATTGGCAGTGCTGTTTTTTACAGGGAATTTTTACAGGGAAAAAATATCTGTAAATCGTTGGGCACATGGTAAGCAGGCAATGAATAAAAACCATTATTACAGTTCAAGCAGTTGATTCCCCCTCTTCCCCGAATTTTACTCATCACAGTTACACAACACCTAGTTGATCAGGACAAAACTCTCGGTGTTTTTATTCCTTTCATGTATAAGCTATCCAAATCTTTACCCCTGAACTATACTTGAATCTGTCCACTATATCTCCATTACGGGGTCTCTGGATCACAGAGTATCTCTCACCTGGCCAGGGTCTCCTAACTGTTCTGTCTGCCCCTACTCTTAATATCTTCCTTAATACCTTAATAGATGTTGCTCATCCTGTCCCCCACTCCATAATTAAAAAAAAAAAAGACCGGTAATCTCAGCACACTGGGAGACCGAGGCAGGCGGATCACCTGAGGTCAGGAGCTCAAGACCAGCCTGACCAAAATGATGAAGCCCTGTCTCACTAAAAATACAAAAATTAGCTGAGTGTGGTGGCGGGCGCCTGTAATCCCAGCTACTCGGGAGACTGAGGCAGGAGAATCCCTTGAATTTGGGAGGTGGAGGTTGCAGTGAGTGGAGATCGCACCACTGCACTCCAGTCTGGGCAACAGTTAGACTCCATTTCAAAATAAAATAAATAAAAATAAAAGTCAAATCATGTCACTCCCCTGCTTAAAAGCCTGGAATGACTCTTCCTTTGCATTTAGAATAAAATCCCAACTTAATGCTAGTTTACAAAGCTGTTTATGCTTTGTACTCCCTCTCACCTATTATACTCCTGACCATGGTCCAGCAAAACTTGCTTCCTTTCTTTTTTGCATACACCTGCTGAGGGCCTCTGTGCTAGCTATGCCCTTTACCTGAAACACTGTACTCTCCCTCATGTCCTGACACAGGTGATTCCTTCTTCAACTCATAAATCAGCTTAAATGCCACCACCTCAGGGAAGACTTCCCTGACCAATCATTCAAAATTAGCCCCTACTGAGTTTCTTACTCTTACACCATCCTGTTTTCTTTTTTTTTCCTGAGACAGAGTCTCACTCTGTTGCCCAGGCTGGGGTGCAGTGTCACAATCTCGGTTCACTGCAACCTCTACCTCCCAGGTTCAAGTGATTCCCCTGCCTCAGCCTCCCAAGTAGCAGGGCCTACAGGCACGTGCTACTATACATGTCTAATTTTGTATTTTTAGTAGAGACAGGGTTTCACCATGTTGACCAGGTTGGTCTCGATCTCCTGACCTCAAGTGATCCACCTGCCTTGCTTCCCAAATTGCTGGGATTACAGGCATAAGTCACTATGCCCGGCCTCCAATTTTATTTTATTTTTTTAATCCCTGGACCCTAGACTTACATACTGAAATGCCAGTTTCATCAGAGCATGAATCTATATTGTTCTGTTCACAGCTGTATGAAACAGTAACTTAGAACACTGCCTGGCATGGAGTAGGTGTGGAAGTATTTTTGTGTGGAGATTCACTTGGGGTGGCTGGCAAAATAATTAGGGAAATATTAGGGAAAGTTATAGGGATTATCATCTCAAACCTTTTGGAAGGCTGAAAGGTTTTATTGGGACAGGCTGAAGGCAGCCAGTTCATTTACATTAGATTAGGGAAAAGACAGAGACAATAAGAAGCTTTCCCAGTTAAGTCTGTTTACCCCACATCCCTTTGTCTCTACTCTGTTTGCTCATGTAAACTTTGTGCTGGATGGTCCTCTCAGGGCAGATCAAAGGGGAATTACGCATTAATAGTGTTTACTCTGGGCATGAAACCAAAAGCTTTTATCATTGATAAAACCACTCTTTTAACCATATTAATTATCCACAAGCATGTTAACTTAGAAACTCTGTTATGAAATTCATACTGAATAAATGTGAGGATGGAGAGGGAGGGGGTTGCCATCTGAAAAGAGCCAATAACCATCCCTAGCCCACTTGAATCACTGAACTAGATGTGAGTGCATTTATTCATCCGTCACTGAGTCAAGGTCTGCAGGACAGACCTCCCTGCGGGTGGTGGTTGACGTCTCATTTTTGAGTAAAATTTACTTGGATGGTGATCATTATATGGCTGGCTGCTTATTCTTCAGGCCTCAGCTCAAATTTGGCACTACAAAGTGGCCCTCCCTGACCCCTGCCCCAATTTTCATAGCATTTATCACTATCTGAAATTATCCTATTTTATTCCTTAATATGCATTGTCTATTCTCTCTGTTATACACTCCCAAGAAAGCAAGGACTTTTGTCTGTTTTATTCACTCCTATAATTCTAGTGTCTACCACTGTACCAGACACACAGTGATACTCAACAAGGAACAGCAAGGCCACTGAGCTAGTAAGTGGTGCAGCCTGGATCCTAACCCAGGTCTGTGGAAATCTGAAGCCCCTGCTTTCAGGAAGAGACCCAGTAGGGACAGAAGCCACACAAAAGAGGAACTAAATTGCATTTTAGGGTCTAATTTACCTTTGTATCTTCTACACCTAGAGAGGCCATAAACGAACTAAAAAAAAGCAGGAAATGTCCAGAAATCCTGAAATGGAAGTTTAAAGGAAGTAGTGATGGCTTCTGCTGGGTAATCTGAAAAAGCTTCATGAAAGTGGAAACACGTCGGGAAAACTAACAGAGTTCAGAAGCCAACACTGGGGGGCTGCAGGGAGTGCCGGTCTTGCTTCAGACCGCCCGGGTTTGAATCTTTGCTCCATCTCTTGCAGTGTGACCTTAGGGGTGTGTTACTCTCACCTTTCTATGCCCTAGTTTCTTCATCAGTAAAACAAATGTACTTAAAGGGCTCTTGAGAAGACTGAGGAAATACACCTAAAGTTGCTTTACACAGTGCTGAGACCATAGTAATTGCTCTATAAATGCACGTTGCCATCAGTATTAGTAGTATTACTGATGAAAGTGTGCTGACCTTACCAGCAGCTATTGGCTGGCCACAGTTATGTGGAGCAACCGAAAGCTTCCTGCTCCCCCTGGGTTCAAAGGCGCGACACTAGAAAGCGGTGGGTCTGGCTCCAGGTACCACCGTCGAGGACTCTCAGTCCCAGCCAAGATTTTCTCAGAGGCTTAAGCCGCAATCTGCCGCTCTAGCAACGGAGTCCGCCGGGTCTCGGTGATGCAGGGCCTCGCGCTTGCGCAGTGGGCCCGGTGGCGGCGCGCGGCGGAGGGCGAGGGGCGGGACCAGCGAGGGGACGCCGGGCGCGGCGGCGCGCAGAGAATTGCGGCGGAGTGGCGCCTGCCTTAGCAGGTAACTGCGCTCGGGCTGGCACCGGGGAGGGCGGTGTGGGTCAGTCAGGCTTCAGGCTTGGGCCGGGGAGGCTGCCTTTTCGCTCACCGCGCGCTCACCGAGCTCAAGTACTACCGTCGCTGTCAGCCAGAGTGCCTGTGTTCCTGAAGTCTGGGCGCGGCGTTGGGGCGGCCCACGCCGGATCCCACCAGGGATCGCGTCCAAGGTGGCGGCCAAGCCCCAGGACCAGCGCCTTGGAGCCACGCAGATCTCCGGACCGGGAAAACCTTAACCCCAGCACACCGCCAGGGTCAGAGCCCCAGTTTGTTTACGGATTGAGGTCTCTCGAGTGTCCGAGATAGAATGAAGGGCTCATCCCTGGGATCTTGCCTTTGACAGGCCCAGTACCTCACAGAGCAGCCTTTCACATTTTGGAGAGAACTGAGGTCTTCCTCGCCTAACGTTCATCGTCTGGTTTTACTCAGAGTGACGCCAGTCTCTCCACATTCGAAGACAGCTGCCTTTTGCCCTTCCACAACTTTCTTTTGAGTTTACACTCCCTGGTTCTTTGATCTGGCCCTTCAGTGGCTTCCTGTCTAAGGCTGTTAATTCTGGAAATTCTCTTCTGGATCCATTCTACCCCCCCCCCCCCCCAAGCCTGACCAACATGTTTCACTCTTGTTGCCCAGGCCGGAGTGCAATGGTACAATCTCCGTTTATCGCAACCTCTGCCTCCCGGGTTCAATTGATTCTCCTGCCTCAGCCTCCCCAGTAGCTGGGATTACAGGCATGCGCCACCATGCCCAGCTAATTTTGTATTTTTAGTAGACACAGGGTTTCTCCGTGTTGGTCAGGCTGGTCTCGAACTCCCGACCTCAGGTGATCCGCCGGCCTCGGCCTCCCAAAGTGCTGGGATTATAGGCGTGAGCCACCGCGCCCCGGCTCCACTCCCATTTTTAAGAGATTCTTCCAAAACTGGATTCCCAGAATACATTTATAGCCATGCAGTTCTCAAGTCAGCTGAATTCTAATCTAGGGCTATGCTGTCTGAATATGTGTCCTTAGGGAAATCTCTTAACTTCGCTAAGCCTCATTGTTTTAATCGGAAATGTGTAGTTGTAAGTAATGTATCTCCCGGTGGTTGTGAGGATGAAAGGAGGTGAAGTATACAAAATCATTAGCGTGCTACCTGCTGCATAGTAAGCACTCGATTGATGTCAGTTATTTTTCCGAACAGATCATTCCGGAGAGAGGCACAGTTGGCCGGGCGCAGTGAAAACATGGTGAAACCCTGTCTCTACTAAAAATACAAAAAATTAGCTGGGCATGGTGGCGAGCACCTGTAATCCCAGCTACTTCGGAGGCTGAGGCAGGAGAATTGCTTGAGCCCTGCAGGCGGAGATTGCAGTGAGCCAAGATAGCGCCACTGCATTCCAGCCTGGGTGACAGAGGGAGACTCTGTCTCATAAATAAATAAATAAAAATTCAACAATTAGCTGGGCGTGGTGGCGGGTGCCAGGAGTAATCCCAGCTACTCGGGAGGCTGAGGCAGGAGAATCATGTGAACCTGGAAGGCAGAGGTTGCAGTGAGCCATGGTTGTGCTATTGCACTCCAGCCTGAGCAACAGAGCGGGACTGTGTCTCAAAAAGAAAAAGAGAAAAGCAGTTTTCTTAGAATCAAATGCAAAATATAATAGCAATAAAACAATTTTAATCAGTCACATGACTTTTAAACTTTTTAGATTTTAAAAAAAATAATGTTGCTAGGCCAGGCATGGCAGCTCATGGCTGTAATCCCCATACTTTGAGAGGCCGAGAGGGGAGGATCACCTGAGGTCAGGAGTTCGAGACTAGCATGGAGAAACACTGTCTCTACTAAAAGTACAAAAGTAGCTGGGTGTGGTGGCGCATGCCTGTAATCCCAGCTACTAAGGAAATCGTTTGTACCTGGGAGGTGGAGGTTGCGGTGAGCCGAGATTGTGCCATTGTGCTACAACCTGGGCAACAATAGTGAAACTCTGTCTCAAAATAAATAAATAAATAAATAACCTGATGTTGCTAATGTTGAGGGGTGCACAGTGAAGTGGGTGAAGTCGGTACCATAGTCAAAGGAGAGTATGATTTGATAAAATCATTTGAAGCAACGAGAATATATTTCACAAGCTTTAGAAATGTCAGTTACTTCATTTTACAAAAGTACATCTGAAAATTTTCACAAGGAAATAATTCGTATTGCAGAAAATTCAAAGAAATATTGTAGTCATAGCATTATTTATACTGGTGACAACATTTGAACTTTTGTAACGAAATTTTTTTTTACATACACAAAAGTAGAATTAATGAGCCCCCACCACGTGTCCATCATCCTACTTCAGTAATGATCAGTATTTTGCCTACGTTGCTTTTGTGAAAAATCTGAAACCTAGTAAGGTGTCTAAAAATGGGAGAATAGTTGAATAAAATGGGATACATTTATTTAGAATACTATAGAGCTTTTAAAATAATACAGAATTGTGTGTGTAACATCACAACTGTAAAAATTCAAAAACTAACCCTATATCTACTAAAAATACAAAATTAGCCAGGTGTGGTGGTGGGCACCTGTAATCTCCACTACTCAGGAGGCTGAGGCACAAGAATCACTTGAACCTGGGAGATGGAGGTTGCTATGAGCCAAGATCGCACTCCAGCCTGGGCAACAGAGGGAAACTCCATCTCAAAAAAAAAAAAAAAGACAACAAGGAAATAGAATAAAATATTAATTAGTTGCCCTTTACTGGTGGGATTGTGGGTGATTTCCTGTTTTTGTAGTTTATAAACATTCCATAAAAATCATATGATTTTTGTTACATCGTTACAAAAGAAAAAATCTAAAAATATCACACCTGAACTGAGCAGGATAGACTATGCCAGAGTGGGTTCACTGTTACAGAGAATAAAGATACTGTAACTTCCCCTGATCTATTCTTGCAGTCTGTGTTTACATTAGCATTCTTTTCTACTACACCTCATATTAGTACTTCATATTGAGTTTCTATGGTCAAATAACATGTCCAGATCTTTAACCAACTGTCTTCTATGTGTAAGTGATTTAACTCTGTGAAATATATTCCCCTTATTTTGACCAGTGTTCCCCCTTAGAGTAGAAACAGGTTTCCTGTGATAGGATGATCTTTTCCCCCATTCCTTTTCCTCCTAGGATCTCACTCAGTCTTCATGCATTTACACACACTTCCTAAAACATGGATGTCTAATAATTGGAGTAAGATCATTTTGTTTTATCACATTTTTTTTCTCAGATTATAATGAGATCTGATAAAAACAAACTGTTCTGCTCTTGGTTGATGAACTAGAGCTGCCTTTTACGCTGATGATATAGTACATGTGACACAGCTGAGAGAGAGAGGGGTCCCCTTCCAAGAAAAAATGTATAAATGAGACTTGTTTCAAATCAGTTTATGAAGAAACTTTGTTTCCTAGGTATGCAAAGAAGCCTTTCCACCCAGATGTCCTTAGAGATAATATGGATGAGTCCAGAGTTCTCCTCTGGGTAAAAGCAGAACCCTTCATAGTGGGTGCCTTGCAGGTCCCCCCTCCATCCAAATTTAGTCTTCACTATCTCAGGAAGATTTCCACCTACGTGCAAATCCGGGCCACAGAAAAAGCTTACCCACGCCTCTACTGGTCTACATGGAGGCATATTGCTTGTGGGAAGCTGCAGTTGGCCAAGGACCTGGCGTGGCTTTACTTCGAAATCTTTGATAGTCTTTCAGCGAAGGCACCTGAGGAGCGCCTGGAATGGTCTGAGGTTCTGTCTAACTGCACATCTGAGGAGGAAGTTGAAAAGCAGAGAAATCAGGTATGGATTTTGTGTGTGTGTGTGTGTGTGTGTGTGTGTGTGTGTGTGTGTGCGTGCTTGCGCATGCGCGCATGCTATTACTTTTGGAAATAAGCCATTCTTTTTAAATTTTTGTATTTATTATGATAATTTAAAAATTTTTAAATGGAGACAGTATCACTTTGTTGCCCAGGCTGGTCTTGAACTCCTGGTTTCAAGCAGTTTTCTTGCCGCGGCCTCCCGAAATGTTGGGATTACAGGCATAAGCCACCATGTCTGGCCCAATAAACCATTTTTAATTTTTGTACTAGCTGTAAAATTTTAGGTTTTAGACTAATGGCCACTGTAATCTCAAGTTATCATTTGAGTTTTAGTAGTTCCAGTTTGGCAGTGTTTAATGTGCTCAACGAATTAGTCTTTATTTACCAGACCTTACTCACCTACTCCCAAAGGAGTAATGTTACAGGAACCCCATTATTGAAAAAGGGAAATATTATACTGACTTTAAAAAGATTTTGAGGTGAATGACTGCTATGGACAACTGTTACATTACAGTCAGAGCAGCTGACTATTTTAAAGTGGACATCTATTACATGCTGGGATTCAGAGATGATTAGGATAGCATCTCAGCCCTCATGCAGCTTATAGACCAGCAGAGAAAGCCGGTATAAAAAAAAACCAAGATGCTATTTAATAGTGTGATATGTATAATAAAAAAATACACAAGGTACGGAAATTGAATAAAGAATTGTTTATTTCAGTGATCAGGAAAGACTTCACAGAGAAAGTATATTAATCAAGTAGGCTAATTATAGTAATAGATAACCCAGTATTTCAGTGGCTTAGAACAGTAACTGTTTATTTCTCAATCAGGCAGCAATCCAACACAGGTACACCTGGTTGGATGTATCTCTGGGCTGCTGTCATCCAAGCAATGCCCTGAGGATCCACGCTTCTATCACTTGGAGTCACTATTACTCAGCTTTGTTAAAAGCTGATTTCATTTGTCAAGAAGAAACAAATGAAATTCTGGTGGCTTACAGAAGAAAAAGGTTTATTTCTTGCCCATTTTACATGTAGCCATTATTTTTGCTATGGTTTTTTTTCAAGCTGTGGCTTGGCTCTGTGTTTTCTCATTTGGGGACACAGGCTAAAGAAGTAGCTTCTGTGTAGATCATTCCCATTCTTACAACAGAAAGGAAGAACAACAACAGAATGGAGGGAAATTCAGTCTCTTTTTAAATTCTTATTTTATGTATACAGCTCAATATGTTTGGGGATAAGTATATGCTGTGAAACCATCATGACCATCAAGGCCACAGACATATCAGTCACCTCCCATAGTTTTCCCTCCTCTTTTATGATTGTTATTTTGTGTGTGTATGTGTTAAGAACACTTAAGATCTACTCTCCTAGAGAATTTTAAGTATACAACATATAATTGTTATCTCTAGGCAGTATGCTATATAGTAGAGCTTCAGAACTTAATTTTCTTGCATAATGGAAACTTAGTAGCTTTCGACCATCACCTCCCCAATACCCCCTCCTCCTAGCACATGTCAGTCACTCTTCTCTCTGTTTTAGAGCTTGACTATTTTAGATTCCACATATAAGTGAGATCATATAGCTTTGTCTTTCTGTGTCTGGCTTATTTTACTTAGCATAATGTCCTTCAGGTCCATCCATGTTGTTGAAAGTGGCAAGATTTCTTTCTTTCTTTTCTAAGAGATAGGGTCTCACTCTGTTGCCCAAGCTGGAGTATAGGGATACAATCATAGCTCACTGTAGCCTGGAATTTTTGGGCACAAGCAGTCCTCCCACCTCAGCCTCCTGAGTAGTTAGGACTACAGGTGTGTGCCATCGTGGCCAGCTAATTTTTGTATTTTTTTCATAGAGGTTGAGATCTCACTATGTTGCCCAGGCTAGTCTTGAACTCCTGGCTTCAAGTGATCCTCCCACCTCAGTCTCTCAAAGTTTTGGGATTACAGGCATGAGTCACTGTACCCAACATGATTTCTTTCTTTTTTAAGGCCAAAGGATATTCCATTATATCTACATACAAGTTTTCTTTATCTAGTCATCCATCTGTGGCCATTTAGGCTGCTTCTGTATCTTGGCCATTATCAATAATGCTGCAGTGAACATGGGAGTGCAGATATTATTTCCGGGATCCTGATTTCAGTTCTTTAGGATAAATACTGAGAAGTGGGATTGTGAGATCATATGGTAGTTCTGTTTTTAATGTTTTGAGAAATTTCCATGCTATTTTTTATAATGGCTGTACCAGTTTACATTCTCATTGACAGTTTTCTTTGCATCCTTACCAATACTTGTTAATCTTTTGTTAACAAGTGTGAGGTGATCTCTCATTGTGGTTTTGATTTACATTTCCTTAATGATTAGTTATGCTGAGCACCCTTTCAATATACATACTGGCCATTTTTATGTCTTCGTTGGAGAAATGTCTATTCAGTTCCATAGTCCATTTTTTAATTAGGTTAGTTTTTCTTGCTATTGAGTTGTAGGAGCTCATTATATATTTTAGATATTAACCCCTTACCAGATATATGGTTTACCTTTTCATTTTGTTGATTGTTTCCTTAGTTGTGCAGAAGCTTTTTAGTTTGACGTAATTCAACTTGTTTATTTTTACATTGGTTGCCTGTGCTTTTGGTGTCATATCCAAAAAATAATTACCAAGACCAATGTCAAGGAGCTTTTAACCTATTTTTCTCTAGGAGTTTTACCATTTCAGCTCTTACATTTAAGCTTTCATCCATTTTGAGTTGATTGTGTGTGATACAAGCTATAGGTCCAGTTTCATTCTTTTGCATGCATATATCCAGTTTTCTCAGCACCACTTATTGAAGAGACTATTCTGCATTTTGCATTCTTGACACTCTTTTGGAAAATTAGTTAACCATATATGTTTGAGTTTGTTTCTGGGCTTATGATGCCTATTAAAACTTTTGCTCATATGTGATGTAAACTAAGACTACTTTCATTCCATTGGCTGAGGCATTATTCCCATGAAGTTGGGAAGGTAAAACACCTTTTAGGAGATAAGAAAAATCCCATGGCCATGGATAGGGCTGTATAAGCCTCTTAGAGAATTTTAAAGTGAACAACAGCAAATAATAATACAGTTTGCCACAGCCATGCCCCTTAGGGCCTCAGAGTCCTTTTGCTTCTATTTCTTTTGGGAGTTTTATGGATTAGGCTTGAAAGTGATAAAGATAAAATCACCCGTATTCAGTTACCGTTATGCCGTATCTAACTGCAAGGGAAGTTGGGCAATGCCATTTAATTCCATACCTAGGAAGAAGAAAAAAGTATTTAGTAAGCATCTAGCAGTCTCTGCCATGTAGAGTAATAGCTAAACAATGTTTTAGAAATTGAAGTTTATCAAGCAATGACGAGGGGAAGGGTGTACATTTATTCATTAATCAAGTATTTATTGTTCACTATGTGCTTGGTATAGAACTGGATGCTGTGCATGTAGAGATGAATAAAATCTTCAGGAAGTTCTAGATTTTTTGAGTGCTTTTTATTACTAGATGCTTTACTAGTCACAAAGGGGTATAAAAATGGAAAAGGTAAGGATCCTGTAGTCTTCATGAAAAAATGATCATGTAACAAATAATTGTTTAAAATGGAAGTATATATAAAATCAGGAATAATGCTTAGTGAAAAAAGCCAATCCCAAAAGGTTACATACTATATGATTCTATTTACCTAACATTCTTGAAATGACAGAATTATAGAGATGGAGAACAAGTAAGTAGAAGCTAAGGGCCTAAGGAAGGAGTGATAGAGACGGAGAAGTAGGTATGGCTGTAGAAGGGCAACATGAGAGATTCTTCTATTGATGAAAATGTTCTTGTATCTTGACTGTATCGGTGTCAGTATCCTGACTGTGATATTGTCCTGTAGTTTGGCAAGATGATTAAAAGCTATATGGGATCTTTCTGTCTGAGTTCTCACAACTATATCTGAATCTACAATTATCTCAAGAGTTGAAGGAAGTAAAAATTTATAAAATATACAAATTCATCCAGCTCACATTGACAGTTGATTGAATAGGTCTGGGTGATCCTGAGAATCTGTACTTTTAAGTTTCTCAGTTGATAGTGGTTTTGAGCCAGAATGGGAATCAGGGTACATATAGCTAAAGACTGAGATGTATTACTTTACTTTTTTGCCTCTTTTTTGTGGGGTTGGGTAGATGAGGATAATCATGAGCTTCAAATCGTGTCAACCACACCCTTCCTTGAATAAGAAATGACTATACATCTATCAGACTGATAGTGTTTTTGTCTTTAAGTCAAACACCCCTTTAAGAATTTGGTGAAAACCTGAGGCCTGCTCCCTTTAAAAAATGCACATGTACCAAAAAACTACATACAACTTCAGGTATTGCACGGGTATCCTAAACTTTCTTGATAAGTTTATGAGTCTTATATTAAACCTCTATGTCTTGACTGAATTTTCTCCTTTCTTCCATTTACTCATTTATTCAAATTACTAAGGTTTTTTTTTTATTAAACTGTAAGTTTAAACTTCTGAAATAATGTACTTAAAAAAAGTAAGTACTTTATCCTTTCATCAGTTTTGGGAGATACTTTCTGTAGCCATAGATGCTATACAGCTTCCTGTGAAGGTAAATTATTCTACTTTAATTAGTTTTAGAAACTCTTACATCTGGATAACAGAGACATACATAACAAAACTAGCAATGTTTCTAAGTTTGTTTTTTTAGGATCAGCCAACTTGTAAATTTACTATGTCTACTTAGTTGTAGACTAGTGGTTGATATTTTAAAATGTGTGTTCCTCCTCTGTTTTCTTCTTGGACAGCTTTCAGTGGACACCCTACAGTTTCTGCTCTTCTTATACATTCAGCAGTTGAACAAGGTCTCCCTAAGGACATCTTTGATTGGAGAAGAGTGGCCCAGTTCAAAAAACAGATCTCAGTCTCCTGACCTCACTGAAAAATCTAATTGTCTTAATAAGGTACTCTTTATACCTTGATCTCATTCTCTAAAAGGGACAATTTGTGAGAGAGATGGTTCACTTGTAAAAATTATGATGGGATTTCTTATGTAAGCCAGTGATTTGATGGCTTGTTTTATTTTTCACTTTTTAAAAAATTATAAAACAAAATCATTGTGTACAATGTTAATCAAAATAGAGAAATGGTTTCAGTTCCTTCATTGATAGAAAAATCACTTGCCTGATTTTTGGGCAAATCATTTACTATATTCAATTAGCATTCCCATTTAAAAAATGTTAATAGATGTGAATCAACTTATTTGACTAAAGGATCATCAAGATGTAGTGCTTGCAGAGTCTCAGTGACTCCCAAGTTTGTTTCCATCCCAGAGCTCTTGCTTTATACTTACCACTTCATATAGATGTCCTAGCTATCCCTTAAATTCAGAGTGTTCAAGTCCAGATGTATTAGAGATACCAATCACTACCTCTCTCTCCACATGTAGTTCCTGCAGAATGGGCACTGTTAGGAGATGGTGTTTTGAGCCAAAGTAGCCTACATTCAGATCTGCCTCTGTTATTTAATATCATTTAGTCATATGAGTTTAGGCAAGTCAGTTAACTTCTCTAGGCCTTGGATTCTCTTCTCTAAATGGGGATAATAATGCATATTTCTGAATGGCTATGAGACTTCAGTAACCTATTAGCATGAGACTTGTTGCATAGTAAATGTGACTTTGTTCTATACTACAGCATGACTTCTCCCAATAACTGTGATTGGACCAGGGATGGACACTTGAGTAGGCCATTTATTGCTATATATTTGAAATTGGTCGTATTTAAAGTGATGATCTGGGCCAGTCTGTTCCCCCAGGAAGAAATTATGTATTGGTGATGGGTGTTTGAACTGCAAACCCATTTGACATTGGGACTAGAATAGCCATCATGCTCATGAATGACCTGGAGTTATAAGGGATTAGAAATCCTGAGGTAATCAGAAAAGCACAGGTTGCCTATAATCAGAGAAAAAGAAGGGAATGGAACAGACATGCAGGTTCTTGATGGCTTTCCAGTTCCAGCTCTAATGAGGCTTGCCTCTACTTCAGTTTGGGAGACAGCTGAGGGTCCATACAGTAAAATCTCCTTTTGAGTTAACTTGTACTGCTTATGTGAGTAAAACTCTCCCAAGTTCTCTCTCACCACTCATATCTCATTGTCAAGCCTTACTGATTCTGCCTCAGAACAACCATTTAACTCGGTTGCTTTTCTTCCTCTTATCTAGCTTTTTTATCAAATGACTTTTTCTTTCCTTGATTTCTAGAATTAGGTCCTAGCTGGTCACCTTGCTTTAGTCAGCAGTCCACCTACCACACTGGACTTTCCAAAATGCAGATGGAGTATATCTGTCTCCTGTCTAAACTCTATCAACTTATCCTCATTGTTTTTGTTGTTTTATATTGTACTCCATGGAACCACCTCAGGGCCTACTTTGAGGGAGGGGGTTGGGGTGAAAGGGAGGAAGAACAGGTTGAGACTGAGAATAACTCTGCTTTTATCTGTTTTCTTTGGCATCCAGAGGAAAATTTATTGAAAAGAAAAAAAAAATACCTCTATTTAGAAAATAGCTTGTAAGTCTCTGGCATACCAAATAAAGTACAGATGTTTTAGTATTTCATAAAAGGCCTTTCATGATTGATCCCTGCCTACCATTTTAACTTCAGCTGTCACTTCCCAGCATGCTTCCTGTACCCCACCCAGAACTTGCAGCTCTCTTAACGCAGCAGGTACTTTTACTCCTGTGGGCCCCTGATTATGTTTTCTATGCCTAGCATGCTTTTTATCATGTCTGTTTGCCTAACTACCAACATCAATCAGGCATCTATTCAAACAGCACTCAGATGTGATTTATTTTTCCCCAGATGGAGTTAGTTGTTCCTTTCATGCTTATAGAACATCTTTGCAGGTCTCTGCTGTAGGTCTTATCTCACTGTTATGGTAATTTATTTATATTATCTTCTTACTACCTAGACTCTTAAGTTCCTTGAAGACTGAAAAACTGTCTTATTTAAGTTGCATATTCATCACTTAACATTGTTCATGCCAAATAAGAGGGGCTCAAAAAAGTATCTGTAAATGAATGGGTCAAATCACCGGGACATCTGCAAAGTCAAAGCTTATTCCCAAAGTTATAATTTCACTTAAATCTAGTCATAGTAAGATTGGTTGCCTCATTTCATCTGGTAGAATTTGAAATTCCTTCTGTAGTCAGAGAAGGCAAATTAAGAAACCCAGTGCTTCACTGAATGAATTTCCATGATAGTTATTTTTATGTTTGATCTAAAACTTTTGGAGTATTGACTAGCTCTGTGATCTTGGGCAGGTTTCTTCTTTGTAAATTCATTTCATCATCTGTAAAATGGACATCATAATGGCATCTATTTTAGGATTATTGTTAGGTTTAAATATGTTAAAGTATGTTTAATACTTGATGCCTGGCACACATGAAGGGTTATTTATTAGTATTATTTTTGAGTCCGTTAAGGTGGAGAAAGAATCTATTTATACCTATCAGATATAAAAAAAAAAAAACTTTATAAGGTTTATATAGCTACTTAATTCCTTTTGGGGGATGAGTCAGAGTATAAATACAAAATAATCAAAATATAGAAATTGTAGATATGTAGAATTTCTTTATTCTTTAAGAGTGCTTTCTTTTAACTTTTTTTTAGAACTGGAATGATTACAGTCACCAAGCTTTTGTCTGTGATCATCTGTCTGATTTCCTCGAGCTGCTTTTAGATCCAGAACAACTCACTGCATCATTTCATTCAACCCACAGTAGTCTAGTGTCTCGAGAAGCTGTTGTGGCACTCAGCTTCCTCATTGAAGGTACAATAAGTAGAGCCACGAAAATCTATCCACTTCATGAACTTGCACTGTGGCAGCCACTGCATGCAGATAGTGGCTTCTCAAAGAGCTCTAAGACTTTCTCTTTCTACAAGCTGGAAACCTGGTTGAGGTCCTGCTTGACTGGGAATCCATTTGGTACATCAGCTTGCCTCAAGTCTGGAAAGAAGTTGGCTTGGGCTCATCAAGGTATTTTTGAATATTTTAATCTACATTACATTGAATGACAAGGAATCTAGTGTTTTCTGGTGTATTAGTGATCACATGTCTTCTGTAGATGACCTAAAAAATACTGCCCCTATAAAAGAGAAAAAGGAATATCTGTCTTTTGGGTATGACTTTTTCTCGCCAGGATTATACTAATATATTAAGAGTGATAGTTGGATTACAGATTATTTTTATCTTCTTTTATTGTTATTTTTCTAAATCACCGTATATAATATACCTGGTACACAGGTAATAAAAGTAAACTTATGTAATAAAAATGAACAAGAAATATTTTAAAAGAAGAATAATAGCATACTCATATGATCTCTCTACATTTCACCAGTATTGTTTACAGGGGTGTCCCAGTGGTTTGCAGGGAAGTACAGTCTGAGAAGGAAGTCACGTAATGGTGTGACTGTGTTAGGAGGGGAACCTACACATATTTTTTTGAGTGTCAGTTTGTGCAAGACACTTTGTGTGTGAAGGAAGATGTGATCTTAGGAGTAAAGACATGAATTCAGGCTGGGCCTGGTGGCTCATGCCTGTAATCCCAGCAATTTGGGAGTCCAACGCGACAGATCACCTGAGGTCAGGAGTTTGAGGCCAGCCTGGCCAACATGGTGAAACCACATCTCCTCTAAAAATACAAAAATTAGCCAGGCATGGTGACTTGCACCTGTAATCTCAGCTCCTCTGGAGGCTGAGGCAGGAGAATCACTTGAACCTGGGAGGCGGAGGTTGCAGTGAGCAGAGATTACACCACTGCACTCCAGCCTGGTGACAGAAAAAATAAAAATAAAAAAGACATGAACTCAAATAGGATTTATGAGATAATGTGGTAAGTTGGGAAGGGTACAGAATTAATATTATGGTAATTTAGAGAGGTGAATTATGTTTGAGGTGATAAAGTAAAGCATCTTGGAGGCGAAGATATTTGAGTTAGGACAGCTTTGCCGCTTACTAGCCATACGGCCTTAGGAACATTACTTAACTTGAAGGGTAGACATGAAAAAAATCTTAGATCTATAGGCAATCTTAAATGCATTATAGGTTAAATTTTTTTATAACAAAAATTATGAAATATTTCAAACATACAGAAAGGAATAGAGAATAGTATAGCAAATACCTCTTAAAGCCCAGATCTAACATTTTTGTCCTGCCATGTGGTGTCTAATTTTAGACACGTATCCATGTAGACATGTATAACCTCATACGGTTGGTTGCTTTGCTTTGATTTGAAACTGTCTCATCTATTTATATGTTTTCTTAAATAGTTGAAGGAACGACCAAAAGAGCTAAGATTGCTTGTAATACTCATGTGGCCCCTAGGATGCACCGCATGGTGGTGATGAGCCAGGTTTACAAGCAGACGGTGGCTAAGAGCTCAGATACTCTAGTGGGGGCACATGTAAAGATTCATCGTTGCAACGAATCTTTTATATATCTGCTCTCTCCCTTACGGTAAGCAGTCTTCATGGTGTTCTGCTGTTCTGACATTTTCTTTGGACTGTGACTGATTCTTTTTTGCCATCATAGAATAATACTTTAGTCAGATTTTTAAAATCTTACTTCATTTTAGAGGAATTTGCCTCATTTTTCCCTTTGTTTTTTCAGATCTGTGACAATTGAGAAGTGTAGGAGTAGCATCTTTGTCTTGGGCCCTGTAGCGACTACGCTTCACCTCCACAGTTGTGACAATGTTAAAGTCATTGCTGTTTGCCATCGTTTATCCATCTCTTCTACAACAGAGTGCATCTTTCACATTCTGACGCCTACACGCCCACTTATTCTCTCTGGGAACCAGACAGTAACTTTTGCCCCTTTTCATACCCATTACCCAATGCTAGAGGACCATATGGCCAGGACTGGCCTTGCTACAGTGCCTAACTATTGGGATAATCCAATGGTCGTGTGCAGAGAGAACAGTGACACAAGTGTCTTCCGACTTTTACCACCTTGTGAATTCTATGTATTTATTATTCCCTTTGAAATGGAAGGGGACACAACAGAGATACCTGGGGGTCTTCCATCTGCATATCAGAAAGCACTGGGTCAAAGAGAACAGAAGATACAGATCTGGCAGAAAACTGTGAAGGAGGCTCATTTGACAAAGTGAGTATTTTTTAGAAGTAACAGTTTGTGTTTTTTGTGAAACTTCATGGAGAAGCAAATTAGTCTGCACATTTTTATCGCTGTGCTGAAGTAATAAAAACTGTAAGTTCAGGCACAGTGGCTCACACCTGTAATCCCAGCACTTTGGGAAGCCAAGGCAGGTGGATTACCTGAGGTCAGGAGTTCAAGACCAACATAGCCAACATGGTGAAACCCTGTCTCTACTGAAAATACAAAATTAGCCAGGCATTGTGGCAGGTGCCTGTAATCCCAGCTACTTGGGAGGCTGAGACAGGAGAATTGCTTGAATCCAGGAGGCAGAGGTTGCAGTTAGCCAAGATTGCACCATTGTACTCCAGCCTGGGCAACAAGAGTGAAACTTTATCTCAGACCAAAAAAAAAAATTGTAGTGTGTGTTTAAATTAAGGTTTGGATTTCAAATCAGTATTTCAAATGCTGTTAGGTTGGGGGATGGGAGTGAGTAAATACTCCAGTATTAGACTCCCTTTTCTTACGAAGCTAAAGTTTAGTTGCCAAATATAAGACATGAATTTAAAAAATCATATGTAGAATATGCCGCATAATCCAGTACCATTCTAGGCACCTTCTATGTACTAACTCATTTATTCTTCACAATAATACCTTACTACAGGTGAGGAAACTGAAGAACTGAGAAATTAAGTACTTCACGCAAAGTCACACAGGAGCCAGGATTCACATGTAGTCAGCCTGGTTCCAGAGGTTCTTTTTTTTCTTTATACTGGCTTCTCTAGTGTAACCAGAGGTTCTTAAATGCCTCTAGTGTCTTCACTGTTTTCTTTCAAATATTGTCATGCCATATCATACTGTACAATAATAACATTATAATAATGTGTTGTAAAAACGGATGATCATGAAAAAACATTCTTTTAAAGTAATTCTGTTATTTGAATGCTTCTAGTATTTAAATGGTTAGATTCTCTACACTTGATCTCAGCCAGAAGGCCAAGAAATGATTAAATGCTTATATTCTCTTACATGTGAAAAGTTTATACATACACATGTGCAGAGTGTGAGATGTAAGTGCTTAATAGATGTTGACTCTGAAACATAATGTTTTCAAGTGGTGAGATCCACAAGGATACCAGCAACAATGAAAGTAGTTTAACTTTGGGAATATAGGAAGACAGAAATCAGTTTGAAACAAATTCACAATGTGATCCTTTTAACAATGATTAAATCATGTCATTTCCCTGCTTTGACCCCTCTAATTGCCTCCCATCATACTTAGAATAAAATCTAAAGCCTTTACTATACTTACGAGGCTCCCTCTCCCTCAGTTTTTGCCGTTCTTCCTCATTTACTCAATCCTTCTCATTACTCCAGTCTTCTATTACTTAATCACTGCCCTCTGACCAAAGACCCACAGGAACACATCTATTGAATTTTTTTATTTTTTGAGACAACATCTCTCTCTGTTGCCCAGGCTGGAGTGCAGTGGCATGATCTTAGCTTACTGCAGCCTCCACCTCTTGACTTCAAGCAGTTCTCCTGCCTCAGCCTCCCAAATGGCTGGGACTTACAGACATGTGCTACCATGCCTGGCTAATTTTTGTAGAGACAGGGTTTCACAGTCTTGGCCAGGCTGATCTCAAACTCCTGGCCTCAAGCAATCTACCCACCTAAGCCTCCCAAAGTGTGGGGATTACAGGCATGAGTTACCATGCCTGGCCTATTTATTTTGTTTTTACCTGTCTTCCCTACTAGAATATGTAGTCCACAGAAGCATGTATTACATAGATCACAGTGTGAATGGTGCCCTCTGGAGTCGTGAAGTATCCTGCTTCAACAGGGGCCTTGTCTCGTCTCTTTATACATTTATCCCCGTCAGTCAGAACACTACCCAGTGTTCACTTGGTCCTTGGTAAATATCTAACAACGAATAAGTATTTAGAAAGGAGACATTGTATCTGATCAATCCTTTGGGGGGCAGGGGTGTCCAGTGTACTCTGAACAGTAAGAACAAAAGGATAACAAGAAATAATTAATCATTTAACATTAGCCCATTAAACTGTTATATAATTGCTTAGAATAAAATTTATATGAATTTGTGTTCTTATATTCTTTTTACTCTCAATTGCAATTTTAGGGATCAAAGGAAGCAATTCCAGGTACTGGTAGAGAACAAGTTTTATGAATGGTTGATTCATACAGGACATCGCCAGCAGCTGGATAGCCTTGTACCCCCTGCAGCAGGCTCCAAACAAGCAGCTGGATAAGGATCTTACATGTAGACACTGGTAGGCATTTATACCATTTAAAACAGATTATTTTGGGGAAATCTTTCAAGCATTAAAAAAAAGCACAGAATATTATGTATTAAACATTGCCAGATTTTTTCTACCGCTCCTACCAGCATACACAGACCTTTATGTGCCCATATTTACCATATTATAATGAGAAGATCAAAATATTCAGATGGAGCCTGTAGAATTTGGGGCCAATATACTGGCCAAATTTTGCCTTTTTTTGCTTTTTGCCTGGCACAAGTTGTGCTCCAAAGACACCACGTTCCCCAATACATAGTTTTAAGTTTTATTCTAACACCTTTCCTCTTTTCCATTCCCCTCGCACAAACCAGTTTACAAACTAGCCAATCTTTGCTAATTACACATATGAACAGTAATAAATTACCAGAATTAATCCACTGAAGATTTGATTACTGAACACTAGAAGATCATTGATTGAATGGAAGAGAATATGCATACAAACAAATTTTCTGTTAATTCAGATATATGGTATTCTTTTTTTTTTGAGAGTCAGTCTCCCTCTGTTGCCTAGGCTGGAGTGCAGTGGTGCCATCTCAGCTCACTGTAGCCTCTGCCTTCCTGGTTCAAGTGATTCTCACACCTCAGCCTCCAGAGTAGCTGGGATAACAGGCGTGCACCACCATGACTGGCTCATTTTTGTATTTTTAGTAGAGACTGGGTTTCACCATGTTGGCCAGCTGGTCTTACACTCGTAACTCCAAGTGATCCACTTGCCTTGGCCTCCAAAAGTGATGGAATTACAAGCATGAGCCACTAAGCCCGGCTCCAAACATATTATATTCTTTTTTAATAGAAGTTAGTGTACTGTGTTAAAGTTTTGTGTGTTTTTATGTATGCTGGAGTGCAGTAGCACAATCTGGGCTCACTGCAAGGTCTGCCCCACAGGTTCAAGCAATTCTCCCACCTCAGCGTCCCAAGTAGCTGGGATTACAGGCACACACCACCATGCCTGGCTAATTTTTGTATTTTTAGTAGAGATGGAGTTTCATCATGTTGGCATGATGAAACGCCTCACCCTCCCAAAGTGCTGGGATTATAGGCGTGAGCCACCGCACTTGACCTAAAGTATTTTAAACACTAACAATAGAAAAACAGACAAAGGATAGTAATAGGTAGTCCACAGAAAAATACTTAAGAGACACAAAGATGCTTACTTAAAAATTAAAGAAATGTATAATACTTTTTTTATTAGATTGGCAAAGAGCAAAAGCTGATAGAACACAATACAGGCAAAATATTTCATTTACCACTGAGGAAAGTGTAAATGTATGCAACCTCTTGCGGGGGCAGTTTGACAAAATTAAAACTAAAAATACAAATATTCTGACTCAGCAATTTCTTTTTTCTTTTTTAGAGATGGGGGTCTAACTCTCTTACAGACTCAAGTACAGTGGCATGATTGTAACTCACTGCAGCCTCAAACTCCTGGGCTCAAGCAATCCTCCTGCCTCAGCTGGGACTACAGGTGCATGTCACCACACCTAGCTGATCCTTTAATTTTTTGGTAGGCACAGGGTCTCACTTTGTTGTCCAGGCTGGTCTTGAACTCCTGGCTGAAAGCAGTCCTCCTGCTTCGGCCTCCCAGAGTGCTGGGATTACAGGTGTGAGCTACTGCACCTGCCCTGAGTTAGGAGTTTCACTTATTAATAGAATTTATCTTGCAGATAAACTCATATATGTAGAGATATATTTAATTATTTGTTTGTTTATTTTTTTGAGATGGAGTCTTACCCTGTCCTCCAGACTGGAGTGCAACCTCTACCTCCCAGGTTCAAGTGATGCTCCTGCCTCAGCCTCCTGAGTAGCTGGGATTACAGGCACCTGCCACCGCACCTGGCTACTTTTTGTATTTTTAGTAGAGACAAGGTTTCACCATGTTGGCCAGGCTGGTCTTGAACTCCTGACCTCAGGTGATCCACCTGCCTCAGCCTCCCAAACTGCTGGGATTACAGGCGTGAGCCACCACATCTGGCCTATTTATTTAATATTTTGAATTGGCAGATAAATTGTATATCATTTATAGCATAATGTTTTTAAATATATGCACATGTGGAATGGCTAAATCAAGCCGGTTAACATCAGTTGTCATTTTTGTAATAAGTACACTTCAAATCTGCTCTCTTAGTTTTTTTTTAAGATCACACAGTATTGTCATTAATGACAGTCACCATGTTGTACCTTAGACCTCTTCAATGTATTCCTCCTATCGAACTGAAATTTTGTAGCCTAAGATGTTTGATGTGGCATTTTTTGAAAAAACTGTAGACTAGAAACACCCCAAATGCAGTGTATTTATATGGTAATTATATGCCTAGCAATCTTTGAAAGAATATAAAGAAATTATGAACAGTGTTTGTCTTTGAGGAATGAGATCGGGTGTCTAGGGTGGGAGAAAACTTTTTAAAATTTTTGTTGAGATAAAATATTACCACATAACATTATGGGAAGTAAAATTCACCTTTTAAAAGATAAGAATTCAGTGGATTTTAAGTATATTCACAAGTTTCTGCAACTCTCACCATTAAAAAATCCAGAACATTTTCATTACCCTCAAAATAAAGACTGTACACATTGTAAGTCACTCCTCATTCCTCCAATCCCCCATATTTCCTCTTCTCCTTAGTCCCTGGCAACCACTAGTCTACTTTGTCTATTCTGGACATTTTATATAAATGAAATCGTATAACATGTGGCTTTTTGTGTCTGGCTTCTTTCATTTAGCATAGTATTTTCAAGGTTCATCCATGTAGCAATGTATCAGTACTGCATTCTTTTTCATGGCCAGATAATATTTCATTGCGTGGATTTACCATTTTGTTTATCCATTCATCAGTTGATGGACATTTGGCTTGTTTCTACTTTTCAGCTGTTGTGAGTAATGTTGCTGTGTACATTTGTGTACAAGTTTTTGTGTAGACATTTGTTTTTATTTCTTATGGGTATGTACCTAGAAGTGGAATTGTGAGGGCGTATGTTTAACTTTTTAAGAAACTGCAGTTTTCCAAAGCTGTAAAATGTATTTTTTTATTGTTTACTTTATATATTTACATTTCTTAAGGGTGTATTTTTTAAAAAAGAATTTAATGATATTTATTAATAAATGCTTAAGATTAAGAATTAGCAATTTGGCTGAGCGCAGTGGATCATACTTGTAATCCCAGCGCTTTGGGTGGCCTAGGTGAAAGGATCGCTTGACGTCAGGAGTTCGAGACCAGCCTGAGCAATGTAATGAAACCATGTCTCTACAAAAAATTTAAAAATTATCTGAGCATGGTGGCACATGCCTCTAATCCCCACTATTTAGGACACAGATTGGAGGATCCCTTGAGCCCAGAAGTTTAAGGCTGCAGTGATCTATGATTACACCACTATATTCCAACCTGGGCAACAGAACTAGACCCTGTCTCTTAAGAAAAAAAAAAATTAGAAATCTGATGGAGATTATGCAAAGGAAATGTGAACTATAAATATTTGTAAAAATATTCGTTTAATCCTCACTGCTTGACAATTTTTTATATTCATGTATGAATTTCTTATGATCTAACAAGACATCTAGCAAAAAGGAATATTATTAACTTTAAACTTTATGTATTTTATCACTCTGTCATCTGACTTTGATAATTTATGCGATTTTATAAATGTAAGCATTTTAAAATTATTTACATGAAGGCAATAGAAAATTAAGTTATTAATATTATTTTTTCTTTGCTCTTTAGGGCCCTGGAAATACAAGGATAAATGGAGGATGGTGCTCATCTTGAAACTAAACTGGGAAGGTGCTCTTGCTGCTTAAGAGACAATGGAACTTTTCTGTCCTATTTAAGAACTCTGGTTTCCATTCGGTATTCATTTATTACTGTGTAGGCCTAATTTTACCTAAACTTCTGACTTTAATATAAACATATTGTTTATAGAACATCAGAAGACTCATCTTTGTGATGCCCAAATGAAAAAGTTGATGAAGGAACATTATATGTTAATATTAAAGCAACTGAGTGTAGATTTGCAACAATACTGTTTATCTTCATTTGTGTGATGAAAGAATTTTATTCTTTCTAGAGTTAAATAAGAGTTTTATAGTTCTTTGTAACTATTTAAAAGGAAATTGCTACTCCTTTTAAAAAATAATTGGAAGGAAAGTGTAATTTGTTGGCATATAGATACAGCAGAAATAGTTTTATACTATATTTTAGTCCTTAAAGTATGGAACATAATGAAATTGTGTAAAAAAAAAAAATCTTTATTTTTAAATTTTCAATAAACAAACTCTAAAGAATAGTTCCCCCCGCCTTTTTTTTTGTAAAATGATAAAGCTTTACTTTTAATTTTAAAAAAGGCTTCCAGTGTCTTTCCTCAACATATCAAGTAAAGTTTACATTTGATTGGGAAACACTTCTTTAAGATAAGTGAGTGAAATTACCAAATTATCAAATGAGTGAAATGAATCAGATTACTAATAAACATTGGTTCATATGCTCTCTGGCCATTTAATTAGTAATTCTATCAAAAAAGTCTTTTGTATTTCTAAAGTAAAAATTAACCCTCAGAATGTTTAATTGTAATTGAAGTTTACTTAGTTTTTATTTTAAGATGAAATTCAAGAAGCAGAGCATTACCAAATAAACACTGGAGTGGAAATGTATTTTAGATACTGCTATTTGTTAATGAAATAAATGATAGATACCTTTTTAAAGTTTATAAAATACAGAAAACTAAGAATATAGCTTAATATTTTCTTAGTAATCTTTATGTCAAGGCTCAATTGGCATTTTCTGAATAGACCATAATACATCCCATTTATTAAAATATTTGTTGGATAGTTTTGTTAATAGAAAGATGAGGAAGTTGGACTTTTGAGAATATACTTGATCAGTTAAAGTTAAAAATGGAGAAAAATTAATTTGTTGGTTTTTTTTTTTAAGTTTACATAAGATGCAATCAATCTCATTTCTAAAGTCAGAGGTGTATTGGGACCAAAAAAATGTTCTCCAAACACGTTCCAATGCTGTATTGTAGGCAAAGAAGACCACCTACCAGGTAGCAATTTGTGTTTAGTTAGCTAACCTTTGGCAAATTCAGGAGTCCCACAGTTACTTTTCTAAATACAGTGGTACCCTTTTTGTGGATTACAGCTCTTTCTTTTAAAAAAAAAAAAAAAAAACTGTTTTTAGAAAATTAAATAATAGTTGCAAGAATAAGTCAGTGAACTTTAACATACCCTTTATCTAGATTTGATTCACCACGTGTTAACATTTTGCTACGTTCTCTTTACCACTCTACACAACGGTATTATTTTTGCTCAACAATTTGAGAGTAGGTTGCAGACATCTCGAACCTTTCTTCTATACGTTAGCATGTGTATCCTAGAAACAGACATTCTCTTACCTAGTCGTGGTACAATCATCAAATTCAAGAAGTTAAATTTTGGTACAATAGTATTATCTAATTTACAGTCCATATTTAAATGTTTTCTGATTGTCTCAGCAGTGTTCTTTATAGTGACTTTTTCCCCAAAACACAAGATCATGCATTGCATTTAGTTGTCATGTAAGTTTTGTTGCTTTTAGAACATGTCACTTCTGTCCAGAAATAGAGATAGTCTTCTGACTCTTACCTCCCACAAGCTTTGTTGAAGAAAAAGGACATTAGGAATTTCAAAGAGGCTGCTTGCTATTTAAAAAAAAAAAAAAAGCAAAAAGCAAAAAGGGACTCTTTTGTTTTTAATTTTTAAAACTTTGTCTGGGTTTTGGTTTCTTGACTCAGCAAAGTCTATAATGCAGCAGGGCTTGGTAAGCATTAAAGGCGGTACTGAAGCTTTCCTTTATTTTATAATCCCAATTGTTTTTTCTAGAAACCATCAATAGCCTCTAAATGACTGACTCAATTTTTGGATCCTATTCTCATGACTAAGCAAATGTTTGATTTGAAACCAGCCCATATAAATGTCACTGTGCCTCTAACTCTCTGTAGCCATTCCTGAATTTCTTTCAGCACTGAGAAAACCAAAATGTCTAAAACTGGAACCAAGGTAAGTAAATGGTCATACTGATTTTTAGCCTACCCACTTTTCACTTAATGATGCATTGAAAGGAACACACAGAAAATCTTTTGCTTCTTTGCCTAGAGGTTAGAGCACTGGGATTGAGACAGAAGATTAAGAAATGCTTATCATATTTTCTACTCTCAACAGAATTACCAAACATTTTTATTAAGGGTTTGTCTTTATGTTTGGTAAATAATGTGTAAAATATTATTTCTGCCTTCTAGCAACTAATATTCTATGCAACTAATATTCTCCATAGGAATAAGACATGCTAATAGGGATTATATGGAGCAGAAAACTTTTAATAGTCAATTTTGTTTTCTGAAATTTAGCCTCAACCATTAATATTCTGAAAGGCCAAAGTGAATGGGCCAACCAGGTGAATAAAGTCCTACTTATCTCCTTCATTCAAGCAATTATTTTTACTTGTTCCCCAAATAAAGTGCTCCTTTACAGTCAGAAAATTGCCTCTAAAAAATTTGACTCACAGTTGCTGGATTGGAAATTAATCTCTCATGTAGAGCTTTGGGAATGAGGGAATATGTCTTCGTTTTCTTTTTAGGTCTCCCACTGATGAGACAAAACGGATGCCTGATTTTTACCCCTAGCTATTTGAAAATTTCAAAACCCATTGAATCCTCAAAGAATGGGAAAGAAATGTTGAATATTTGTATATCTTTCATTTATATTCTCCAAGTGTTGACATTTTGCCATATTTGCTCTCTCCTATCTCCATCTCTTTCTCCTTACTAAACCATTTGAAAATTAGTAGCAGACTTTATTATACTTTTGCCTTAAGTATTTAGGCATGTAGCTCCTAAAAACAAGGGCATTTCCCTGTACAAGCACTGTATCATTATCATGTCCCCAAGATTGATCATAAATCTAATAGCTAATATTAAGACCACATTCAAATCTCCCCTGACTGTCCCCAGAAATGTGCTTCATGGTGGACTTTCCCCCAATATAGGATCCAGTCAAGTGATGTATTGCATTTGATTGTCATGTCTCTTTATTCTCTTTAATTTTTTTTTTAGCCTCTCTAAAAAAGTCCCCCTATGCTTTCTGTTGTTCTTGAGACATTGACATTTTTCAAAGCTTAGGCCAAGTGTCTTCTAGAAAATCTGACAATCTAGATGTCTAATTGTTTCCTCATGTTTCAATTCAGAATAAATATCTTTGGAAAGAAAGCTACATAGGCAATGTTGTGTACCTTCTGTTGCATCATCTCGGAAGGTACCTGTTAACTTATTCCATAATTTATTAGTGCTTGATTTTTTCCATTGGAAAATAGAACTGATAATCATGCTTGTCATTCAGAAGGTTTAGGGAGAAAAATGTGTCCTTAGTGCTCTGAGGTTCTTGAAAATACACCATGCAAATCCCACTAAAAAAGAATTTAAAATCCTTAGAGGAGGAATATCCATATGTCTTGAGGGAAAGCAACCATTTTAGATGAAAACATCTCCTGCTTTTAAAGATGTCCAGAGCAGTAATAGTGTATTCTTTTTTATTTATAGCTGAGTTGTCCATTTAGTTAAATAACATTTGCTTGCTAGGGCAAAGGAGAGTTTAAATGATTTCTTACTCTTTCTCATTGCTTCTTCCTTTCCCACTATCTTGCTAGCAGTTTAATCAGAGGAGTTATAGGCTTGGCAAAAGGAATAGATTTTATTAAGTATGTTTTCGTTACCTCTGGGATACTCAAGACATTTTTCTTTCTGCTGCATTGGATTAATAGGCCATTTTTCCAAAAATAAACCTGAAAATGATAGGAATTTTGTAATAGTTTTTAGGAAAACTTTTTGCACATTTGTTAGCCTTCTCTACAAAATGTTTTGCCCAAGGGTCAAAACCTCTCAGCTGACAATAGCATGAATTTCATGGTTATTCTGCAAATAGAAATGGAGCACGGCTAGGTGCAACATTCTCTGGCTCTGAGATTTCTGAGATTTAGAAAGTCTCCCACTGAAAGGATAGCTTAGTGTTGGAGCTCAGTAATGATTCCATGGCAACAAGATGAGTGCTTTGTTTCAACTTTTGGATGATTGGCTGGTCTCCTGGGAGGGTGGACATCAGGTGACCTTATCAGTTATCATGTATATTTTTGCTTAGCTGATATTGATAATGAGTCATGCAAATGTGCAGAAGGCAGTAAATGTGAGAAACTATGAAGTGAAATAGATGGTATTATTAACTTCCTTTCCCATAGGATATCTTTTGCAAAGGCTCTTTCTGGTGAATATTTGGTCAAGACCCAAAGGCAAATAGGACATATGAATTAAGTTTAGAATCTATCCATTCTTAGAGAAGTTATTTGACTTTCCTGAAGATCTCTCCACAGGTCACAAGGAAGAGACCTCAGGCTCAGGCTCAGTCTTGCTTATTGTTCAAGAGAGTAAATGCTGCCATGTTAAACAGAGCTAACTGTGCAGGAGAAAAGACAGCAAAGGAAAATCCAGTGACAATAGATTACTCACTAGGAGTTTTGCACTGCTGCCTGTTAGCCTGTAACAGGCTTGCCTGTTAACTTGTAACTAGGTAGTGACATTAGGCCAATCACTTAACTTCTTTACCTGTGAAAATGGTAGCAAAACCTTATTGGCAATTGTGAGTCAGATATTAACTAAGTATTTATATATTTTATTTATTTATTTTGAGATGGAGTCTCACTCTGTCACCCAAGCTGGAGTGCAGTGGCACGATCTTAGCTAACTGCAACCTCTGCCTCCTGGGTTCAAGTGATGCCCGCCCCAGCCTCCCGAGTAGCTGTGACTACAGGTGTGCGCCACCATGCTCAGCTAATTTTTTATATTTTTAGTAGAGACGGGGTTTCACTGTGTTAGCCAGAATGGTCTCAATCTCCTGACCTTGTGATCCACCCACCTCAGCCTTCCAAAGTGCTGGGATTACAGGCATAAGTCACCACACCCGGCTAAACTAAGTACCAACATCCCCTTGGACCCTCAGAACATACCCATCTGCAAGAGACACTGTCATCCTGGTTTGCAAATGAAGAGCTGTAGAGAAAGGTTCATTGCCCTGTCCAAGGTCACAGAGCAAGAAATCAGTAGTAGTAGTGGGATTTTTTTCTTCCTCCATAAGCTGAAGTACCATGTATTTCAATCTGTACTGAGCTAACATGGGAAGGTTGCTGAAACACATACATTTGGGCAGGGGAAAAAGGAGAGGAAGTAGATGATTTAGGGATAGGAAGGATAAAGATTGAGATAAATGTGAAGGGAAGGGAAAGATTAAGTTGGAGGGAAATCATTATTAGTATATTAGTATCTAGAAAGAACCACCCAGCATAGAGGAGAATGCAGTTTTATGCCTTTTTGTGAGTCATTCTTGGTTTCTTCCTCTCCTCATTCCCTCCATCTAATTAGTCAGCAAACCCTAAAGTTCTTTACTGTTTTCTCATCATCATTCACATTGCAGTTGCCTTTTGGTTATCCCTCATCATCTCTCGCCTGGCCCACAGCAGCCATCTGTTTCTAAGCACAGACTGCTAAGTACAACTCACACATAATCACCAGAGGGATTCCAGCATGGTTCTCGTGTTGTTTTTCTGGCCTTATGTTCTAATACTTCACCAGATATTCAATATATACTGGGCTTAATGAACTACTTATTGTCCCTGTAATGGGCTATGTTCTTTCACTTCTTTATTCTTTTGGACATGCTTATTCCTTTTCATTTGCCTCTGGAAACCACCTACCTTATCCTTCAATCCTCAGCTCAAAGATCCTCTTAAGACAGCGCCTGGCTCTGCTGCTTTCACCTGAAATGGCTCAGGTAGTTTTCTCCTCTTAAATCCATAAAGTAAATCAGCCACAGGGTGGCGGCATAATGCCATGTAATTAACTGTTCACAGCATGACACCTGTGGTTTCAGTTTCAATTATAACCTAGCATCGATCTGAAACTCCATCTTAAAAAAAAGATTGTGGACTTATTGAATAACAAGGGACAAGCTCTGTAGTCCATTTGTAGTTTTCATAGTGGTTTCAGGAACTGCTTGGTGAATCCTTGGGAGTTCTTAGGAACTCTGTCTCCTGTTTCAACCAGAAAAACTCTGGAGACTTGTTTTAAAGCCGGGACTTCCAGGCTGCTGTAGTCTTCAAACAGGAAGCTGAAACTCAGAGAGGTGGCTCGATGAAGATAGTAAGGCTAATTGTGGAGACGTATCTCGGCAGGCCAGACTTACTATTTCTGGTTTCACAGGGCTGTGTATTTCTCAGTCCTGTCCGAGACTTACCCCAGGCATTGTGGGAGAAACTTAATAAGAGTTTGAGGCAAAGAGCGTTCTTGCCTTATTATTTTGTTACTTTGCAACTACTCTGTTGGCAATAAACTAATAATAAAGAATATAATATGATATATTTTCATATATGAAAGCTCTATGTCCATCTAAAATAAACTCTCTAAAGCTAAGTTTTATGCTTTATTTTTCCCTGTATATCTTCATATCACCTAGAAGTCATTCATCTTCACGAAACAATTATTGAAGTCTTGTCAAGTAATGGGCACAGAGGACTGATAGCTCAAATGAGGCTTGGTATTTGCCCTTGGAAAAAGTGTACTAGGATTCTGGTGGGAGGGACAGACACACAAATGGATAACTTATAATGTGGTAAGTACAGAGAGCTGTGGGAACATAAAGGAAGAGAAAATGAGCTTGAGCCTGAGACTGCTGGCTTCCATTAAGCACTCCTCTGTTTTGCTTCCTGTTCAGCCCTCAGGAAGTATTCATTTCTATCATTGACAACTGAAGTTGTCTGTCAGAAAGCAATGTTGTAACATGCAGCTACCTATTTTTCCTCAAAACTGAGGAGAAAGGAATTTCTAAAGTAGGCATTATAGTCTTCATTTTTATCTGTGAATAAAGCCACCCAACTTCAAAGCTCTTCCTCTGTTTGCCCTCTACTTCAGATTACTTTCTATGAAGACAAAAATTTTCAAGGCCGTCGCTATGACTGTGATTGCGACTGTGCAGATTTCCACACATACCTAAGTCGCTGCAATTCCATTAAAGTGGAAGGAGGCACCTGGGCTGTTTATGAAAGGCCCAACTTTGCTGGGTACATGTACATCTTACCCCAGGGAGAGTACCCTGAATACCAACGTTGGATGGGCCTGAACGACCGTCTCAGCTCCTGCAGAGCTGTTCATCTGGTAAGTCTGGGGACTTGTGCACTCCCTCTCTTTCCCACACGGTCTGTTTGCTTTCTCTTTTGCTTTCAGGTAAAACTTCCTTGAGTTTTTTCTACCTCTTAATGAGTGGCTGCTTGTTGGCTGCTGAAGCTTGAGTAACTCTTAGATCAGTTCATTACAAGAATGACTACACTAATCTCCAGGGTGTTCTCTCTGCCTCTTTTTTCTTCTTTTTTTGGGATGAAGTATCGCTCTGTTGTCCAGGCTGGAGTGCAGTGGCATGATCTAAGCTTACTGCAACCTCTGCCTCCCAGGTTCAAGTGATACTCCTGACTCAACTTCCCAAATTGCTGGGATTATAGGCGCCTTCCACCATGCCTGGCTAATTTTTGTATTTTTAGTAGAGATGGGGTTTCACCATGCTGGCTAGGCTGGTCTCAAACTCCCAACCTAGTGATCCACCTGCCTTGGCCTCCCAAAGTGCTGGGATTACAGGCCAAAGCCACCATGCCCGGCCTCTCTCTGCTTCTTGAGTGTTTTGAAGAATTAATTTTTTCTCATGGAAAGTTAGCTGTTTTATTCAGTACACAGTGGGATGGGAGTTCAGATCATCTAGCTTTCAAAGTGATACATTCTGAGCAATACTGTTCTCTAAGTTCTTGACCTACTGGTGATTTCCATCATGGTTTCTGTTCATTTTCTCCTGTGTCTTTTCAGCCTAGTGGAGGCCAGTATAAGATTCAGATCTTTGAGAAAGGGGATTTTAATGGTCAGATGTATGAAACAACTGAGGATTGCCCTTCCATCATGGAGCAATTTCACATGCGAGAGATCCACTCCTGTAAGGTGTTGGATGGTGTCTGGATTTTCTATGAGCTACCCAACTACCGTGGCAGGCAGTACCTCCTGGACAAGAAGGAGTACCGGAAGCCCATCGACTGGGGAGCAGCTTCCCCAGCTATCCAGTCTTTCCGCCGCATTGTGGAGTAATGACATGAATGGGGCCATATTCTTCCTGGGGCCCAAATGCTGGCTGGCCTTGTGGTCCAAATAGGCATCATCAATAAAACAGTTGGCATGCATCCCACTGTTGACTATAACGCCTCTCCTTAAATGCTTCTAGGGACCAGCACTATAGTGCTCGCCACAGTGGGCAGTTACACAAAGCAACACATCTGTCAGATTACCAGTCTAGATCTTTGTGCCAAACAAAATGAGATTGCATTAAAAGGTTAGAAAATCATACTGCCATGTGGTGGTTCCTTTGCTTATGTTTTGCATTAATTCGACAGGCACAGCAATAATTGCTACAATTTATTGAGTGCCTACATTATTTCATTTTCTCTTCACAACTCTGTGAGAGGTAGTTCGTCTGTATTTTATAAATAAGGAAACTGGGAGAAATATAAAAATTGCTGAATTCACCAGTTAGTGAATGGAGGAGCCAGGATTCATTCCAGGCTACTTCTGCTCCCAAAGTCGTCGTTCTTATTTCTAATACATGCGTTCAACACATTGGCTGGAGATTTGTGCATCTAGTATATGTAGAATCCCCTGAAAAATTTTAAAAGTAGAAAGGACAGGGTCCTCTGAAGGTCCAGTTGAGGAGACAGTATCCATCAAGAACAACCAGTGAAAGCAGCGTTATTATTTGAAAATAGTGGAGCCATAAGCCACCTGAAGTCCTTGTTTAAGATGCAAAGACTGCTGTATTAGTTCTCAACCCTAAGTTTAGACTTTTTGTGTAAAGAAAGGACATATTAAGAATGTCCCTACATTATAACGGTTGAAATGGAGTTTTGTCAAGTTTTACTTAACTCTGAGTAACCCCTGAGATTTTATTTAATCTTTAAGAGGGCAATGATAAAGGAAACAGTATGACTAGGAGTATCTAGGGAGCATTCAAGTGAACCTGGGGATATGCAGAATGCACCCATCTGTAAACGAGATGGCAAAGCCCCTGTCATCTAGGAGCTTTCCCCAAAAGGACAAATTAGAATTGCTAAATTCCCTCTATGTATACTCTATAGTGTACAGTGCATACTCACCCCCAAATATGTTTCTTCATGTTTTATCTTCTCCCTTTTGTCATTTTGTCTGTTTCAAGCGAGAGCCTGAAAAAAGTGGGTGTAAGGAAGGGAGGGAAACACGACAAATGGAGAAGGAATGAGAAGCCATTTGCTGAGCTGCAAAGAGCTCTGGCCTGTGAGCCAACTGCAGCCATAAGCTCTGGATCTTGTCACCATACCACGAAGCTACCTGTCCTTATCTCCAAAACAAGGGAGTTAGTTGAGCCAATTGCTCTCTGGAGTCTCATCCAACACAAACACCCTAATTCCCCAGAGGCCAGCAGGAGGACACTGAAAGACTAGCTGATGACCAAGGACTACTGACACTTAGTTTTAGAGGCACAATTTTTGGAAGTGACCTCAGAGAGCCACTGTTCATTTTTATTTGTTTGCTTTTTGCTTTTTGTGCCAAAGAAATAGGCTGTGGTAACTGAGTATCAGTCTCTTCTCATATCAACTGCTGTCGTGTTCTTTAATGAGTTGGCCACAGTCTGTTCAAAACAACTAGAAAAGCAGTTCTGGCAGCAGGATAGGAAAACAAGAAGTGTCAGGATGACTAACCACAGTTTCAGAGAAGTAGGAGACTGCTTTTGACAGATAAAAGCAGGATTATTATTTTGGAGTGTTGCATGCCTCCTGGTTCATGCCTTGGTCCAGAAAGAGATTGCTATCATTTTCTCCAGCTGCAGGCACACCCATCAACTTTCTGCTTAAAAGGAATTTTACTAAAAATTGATATTAGAAGTCAAAAACACTTTCTATCCTCATCTGTTAGTCCCAGCTCTTTTGGTAGAACATTTGGCTGTTAGGACAAGAAACTGGTGTCTTAACCTGTCACTCACACCTAGAACAGCGCCTGATAATTCAGTTATCTCCCCCCTACCTTTTATGGTTGTATTGCTCTGAAATAGGGGATCTCAATAAAATAAAGCAAGGACATCCTTAAACCATTTTAGCCCTGTTTCCATCTCAAGAATTTCTCTAAGACAAGTCTCTTAATATTCCCATATATGGAGCTCACTGTCTCAAAATGCAATATCAAAGGCTTCCATCTAAAACTTCCAAGTATTGGGATAGAAAAATAAATATAGTATAAGTATGTCCCATGGGACATACTTATACTAAGAAATTGTCATTTGTCTAAAATTCAAATTTAACTGTATTCTGTATTTTTATTTGCTAAATCTGACAACCCTATTCAAGGACAAGGCAAGTTAAACAGGAGTGACATGGGGCTAAGAGCACAGACAATGGTGCAAGCTATGAACATGGGCACATTCCCCAATAGAAGGTCATTTAAATATGTTAAAAAAACACACACACACTGCTCACCAACAAAAATGTCTGCATGTGAATGTGGCTGTGGACCACCGTCTCTAATCGTGGCTTATAGGACAGTTCTGAATATCAGAAATTGTTTCTTAGATTGAGCCAAAATCTGATCCCTGAAGCTTTCAACCTGCAATTCTAGTTTTCATTCATAGGATAGCTCTTTAGGATTTTTATTTTTTTGAGATGGAGTCTCGTTCTGTCACCAGGCTGGAGTGCAATGGCACGATCTCGGCTCACTGCAACCTCTGCCTCCCAGTTCAAGCGATTCTCCTGCCTCAGCCTCCCAAGTAACGGGGACTACAAGCACACGTCACCATGCCTGGCTAATTTTTGTATTTTTAGTAGAGATGGAGTTTCACCATGTTGGCTAGGATGGTCTTGATCTCTTGACCTCGTGGTTTGCCCGCCTCAGCTTCCCAAAGTGCTGGGATTACAAGCATGAGCCACCACTCCTGGCCAGCTCTTGAGATATTTAAAGAGGACTCCAGTTTGCTTCCATGCTGGCATTTCTACATGGAGCAATGCCTGTTCCTCTCATTCTTTCTCTCTTGATGGGTGGGCTCTTAGACTCCTTACTGTCTTAGTGCCTCTCTTCTGTGCTAATGGTAATTTCTCTCTCCCCAGTGTCATAGCTGTATGTACTCTGACCAGTGCAGACTACAGCTGGAGGATTATACTCAGTTCTTTCATCTTTTTTCTCTGATATATACTGTTCTTAACTAAGCTCAGCTTTCCCTGTGCCCTCTCTCAGCTCCGATATGGATGATTGGCCACCTTTCCCTAAGAACCAACTCTCCAGTCGAAGGGCTAGAGCGTTCTCTTCCTCTTTAGGTAGTTAGACAAAAATAGATTCTGCCACTTCCACATGTTAGCTCTAAGTCACATAATTTAGCATGTATATCTTCAATTTTCTTTTCTGAGAAACTAATATCACATAATTTGTGGGCATTAAAATGAGATACTATGTGAAAAATACACAGCATATACAGTCAATTTTCATTATTTTCTGTAGTTATACTTCTTAAAGACACCTCAACACTGAATTGCTAATACTGAACTACTTCTAGATAAAATACTTGGTTAAGTTCCTTTAAGCCTCTGGTCACGTTTTTGTCAACTGATCAATACATTAACTTTTTTTCATGTGTGTTTCTGTTTAAAGACTCTTGAATATATGTTGTTGATTCATTAACATGGAACTCAGGGCCAGCAGCACTGTAACTGCTGCCTGAAGAAAGATGATCTACCAGCTATCTCAGTAAGGCATGTCACAGTCTTCTCATGCTTAGGAACACTAGACAGCCCATCAGCACTACATTTTGGGGATGTTTTCAACAGTGAAATTGCCAAGAAACAACAAAGTAATGAGGAAAGCATGACACTAAATAGACTGAAAGGACACTTGTCTACAGTTTGAGAGTTGAAACAAGAAGAAGAAGCATTTGTTTGACTTTAGCTGGGAATATGCTTATTGGATGACTCAAATTTTTCCCTGCTCTGCTAATATCCATAAAAGATTGCAAGAGCATTACAATTAGTGATTTTGAGACTACAATGAAATTGGAGGGAGTGGGTGAATTTGCAAGTATGGAATCTATGAAATAATGAGGATCACTGATTCTTTACCACCATGGTTGCCATATTAGGATTGGTTCTGAGTACTAAAGCACTTTTATCCATTTTGTGGGGTTTTTTTTTACAACTTGCCTGTTTTTTTTTTTTTAATTGTGGGCTGTGGTGGCTTTTTAAAATTGCACTTTAGGTTCTAGGGTATATGTGCAAAACACACTTTGCATAGGTACATACATGGCAATGTGGTTTGCTGCCTCCATCTCCCCGTCACCTGTATCTGGCATTTCTCCCCATTATCCCTCCCCAACCTCATTACCCCCCACTGTCCATTCCCATTCCCCCGCAACAGACCCGTGTGTGATGCTTCCCTTCCTGTGTCCATGAGTTCTCACTGTTCAACACCCACCTATGAGTGAGAACATGCAGTGTTTGTTTTTCTGTTCTTGTGTCAGTTTGCTGAGAATGATGGTTTCCAGATTCATCCATGTCCCTACGACGAACACAAATTCATCATTTTTTATGGCTGCATAGTATTCCATGGTGTATATGTGCCACGTTTTCCTTGTCCAATCTATCATCGATGGGTATTTGGGTTGGTTCCAGGTCTTTGCTATTGTAAACAGTGCCACAATGGTCATACACGTGCATGTGTCTTTATAATAGAATGATTTATAATCCTTTGGTTATATACCCAGGAATGGGATTGTTGGGTCAAATGGAATTTCTATTTCTAGGTCCTTGAGGAATCACCACACCATCTTCCACAATGGTTGAACTAATTTACACTCCCACCAACAGTGTAAAAGTGTTCCTATTTCTCCACATCCTTTCCAGCATCTGTTGTCTTCAGATTTTTTAATGATCACCATTCTAACTGGCATGAGATGGTATTTCAATGTGGTTTTGATTTGCATTTCTCTAACGACCAGTGATGATGAACATTTTTCATATGTTTGTTGGCCTCATAAATGTCTTCTTTCAAAAAAGTGTCTGTTTATGTCCTTTGCCCACTTTTGAATGGGTTTGTTTGCTTTTTTCTTGTAAATCTGTCTTAGTTCTTTGTAGATTCTGGATATTAGCCCTTTGTCAGATGGCTAGATTGCAAACATTTTTT